CCTCATTTAGATTGCAAAGTTACTTATATACAAAGAGCGGCTATGATTTTGGTCATTCAGACTCTAATGCTCACCTTAGAGGAACATTCAGAGATTATGGAAGGAATTAGCTTAAGTATGGCCTCCATTCTAAGGCATGAATAGTAAATATTTCACACTTGACGATAATTTTAATGAACAGACATAAGGACTTGCAATGGGTTCTTGCTTAGCTCCAATTTTGGCGAAAAACTACATGGCTACATTTGAGGAACGGTTAATGCAAAGGATATTTATGTCTCCAAATTGTTCGTTAGAAATATAGATGATTATTTTATGATCTGGCAGAATGATAAGTATAGGTTAGATAGTTTCATATTTTCATTTAACAAGCACGAAATAAATGTTAAATTCACAATGGAATAAGAAGAAAATATGAAATTTCCTTTATGGACGCTATAGTTATTAGCGAAGATGGTAAGCTAGGCAGAGATGCATATATGAAGAGATGAATAAAATCTGGGTTTCGAAGGCCTCCTTAATGAAATATAGTGGCATGACTCTCCATTTCGAAGGGAAAGTTGGTTGGTAGGAATTCGTGATGTGGTCCCACCGGAAACCGAAAGAGGATTGTCGCGTAAGGAAGACTGATGAATTGTGCGAAGAATTCTTTTCGGCTCACTGTCGTGTGACCTCGATAAAACTACGAAATCTAAGCCAAGCTTCTCCTTAGATCATTAGACCTTGATAACTCAGACTAACGGGTTTGGACTGCTCTTTTCGAAACCTGACTTTCACGTATAAACACTTACATTTTATCAATTTAACCATGTTTACTCACGGGCATACATAATGTCGGTCATCCTATTTCCTTAGTTCATTAAATCTTGATTATCCGGAGCCGATGTTAAGCTTTTTTCTAATTACCCTGAGTTATGACCGGTCTTGCGTACAGACGTCAACATACCTATACACAGAGACACACTCGAATATACTTAAATTGATCCAATCTTTCTATATCCATCTTTATTTTACATTTTTCTCGCAATGATTATATCTATTATATAGACAAAAGCCGCTCAGTCTTCTTGATTAAGTGTTAAGTTGAGGCTTTTACAAGAATGAGTACTAGTTCTGACGAACAAAAGCTTGGTCCGTCTTCACCCCAAACGTTGAAAGATCCCGTGAACTGCAACCTAGAACCAAAAGGCAGCAGTACAAAGCGAATCAGCCTGCGTCTTCTTATGAGATTGATTTTCTAATCTCTTCAGCATGTACTTCAATGCAAAATGAAAGTTTTCACGATAAACTATCCTTACCATGGGACATATGGCAAAGCTGTATTCGATATAACTGCAGTTTTTTTATCCGTTTTATCACTAATATGAAGCGTTCCCCGATCTTTGACATGTAATTATTCGCTAAATTGAGAACTAAACAACGTCACATTGCTAGACCCTACGACCTTTTATAAAATCTATTATGAAATATATGAAGACCAAGATGTTGTGGTCTCTCTTATGAACTAAGTGCGTTCTACTATGTCGCCCTGACAACAAGACCAAGTTGCGACATCGAGGTCAACACACTCATATTATTAAAGCTCATGTATGTGCTACTCTTGGATATTTTAAGTGTTCTTTGGATTGAGTTTTTGACTAAATTTGCTCTTTCAATAATATCTTGAATTCATCTAAGCCTTCTGAACTCGGATGTTAGTATACATTGAGATCACATCGAAACTCATTGATTCCTTCTATTCTCTAATATTCAGTTTATACATCAATCTAGCATATTCATATGAATTCTTTTCTGAATATTTCCAAATTCAGCCATTCTTTTATGCAAAAGAATCATGAAATCTATGAATCTCATCTCCTTTATTATTGACTATTAATCTTGAATGAATTGTCTTCTTGTGTACCTTTGGGCGGCTATTATTTGAAATTGCCCTAGCGTCCCCTTAAAGAAATGAATTGATTTTCAACTTCTCAATTTCTCTCTTGACTACATAAAACGTTAAGCTTTTCCATACGAACGGTCTTAAGATCACCTGTGCGATCCTTTCTAAAAGGTTGTATGTTTCGGAGTCATTTAAATGAATCATCATTGACTTATTAATGCTGCTTACTTCTCCACCTTTCTCTACCTACCTTGTAAATGTTTAGCAATCTTATTTAAGTCGTAAGATTTATTTTGCTTAATTGAGTCCATAGTCTTCTTGACCTAGTGTTAACTTGAGACTTTTACTGGAATGCGTTCCAGCTG